CCCCCCCTCCGGACACGTAATGAGAGCGCCAAAGGTGTGTGGGTAAAGCCGTCGCCTGGGAGACCGGCGATAACGTTATCACGCGTCACTGATAACGGCGAACGTCGCGCCCCTCGCGGCCCACGGGGACGAGCAGGAGGAGGAGGAGCAGGTGGAGGAGGAGGAGGGGAGGGGGGGGCGAGCAGGTGCCGAGCTCTGTGCCGGCCAGACGATCGCGGCCCGATAGTCGCCTTTGGCTGTCGAGAGCCGAGCCGCCTGCGCCCGCGCCGTGCCGCGCCCTTTAGGGCTCCTCGCCGACAGGTGGCCGCGTCGTCGGCCGCGGGGCCTGACGCATGGCTCGGTGATGGACCTGGCCTCGACGCGCACCCTGGCGGTGCTCTCGTCGGCGCTGTGCTGCGCGTCGCTGCTGTGCGTCGTGTCGCTGGCCGTCATCCTGACGCACTGGCACGACGCGCTCGACGCGTGCGTGCAGGCCGACTGCGGCTGCCTGCTGTACGCCCGGGCGGCCACCTCGTCGTACTCGTTCACCGGGTCGGACGTGTCGCTGTGCTGGTTCAGCGGGGCGGCGCCGCTGCCGGGGCTCGTCCTGGCGCTGTCGCTGGCGGCCTGGTACGGCTACCGCGGCTTCGTCCGCACCCCGGCGCACATGCGCCGCGCCGTGGCCCTGGTGCGGGGCGCGGACGGCAGCGGGGTGCGGCTCCTCGTGCACCCTGGTAGGGCGGCCTCGTCGTCGGCGTCCTCGTCCTCGCCGCCGCGCTCCTCCGTCGTGCTGCCCGCCGCGGCCGCGCGCGCGCCCAGCGCCCGGCGCCTCGCCCGGCACGCCGTCTACTTCACGTCGCTGGTGAGTCCACCTGCGTCAACAGAGTATATACACCCCTCTATATCGGGCGCGCCTTGCTTCGTGTACACACACACACACACTCATCATCAGTTCCCCTTCGCCTGTGCTTGCAGGGCGTGGTGTGCCTCCTGTTCGGGCTGCTCGCCGTCAGCCACGTCGCCGTCCTCACCGACGGCTTCCTGGTGGCGTGCCGCGAGTACCGGCACGCCGTGCTCAAGACGCTCAAGGCCTCGGGGAACCTCGCGCTGCTCGTCAACGACCGCCTCACCTGCCCCGTCATCTTCGACTTCCTGGACTACATGAAGCCCGACGTGCGGGAGGACTTCCAGGGCAAGGACCACTGGTTCCCAGGGCAAAGGTATGTCAGCAACACTGGAAAAATAAACAAACAGAGGTAGGACTTAATAATACCTTTTGGGCCGTCAGAAACCAATCGGACAAAGGGGGGAAAGGGGGAAGGGCTTGGATCCAAATATTATGGGGCCCCAGAAACCCTCGTTGAAGTTGAAGCATCAAGACGGTCATTGCAGTCCTAGGAAACCCCATGATATATAGGTACCCTGGGGTAAACATTATCATGGGGCAGAGGCGTAACCACGACAAAAAAAGTTGGGGGGGCCGTAGTACGGGTTGCCTACCTACTAGGCGGACTCGAAGACCGTGTTATATAGAAGAATTAGGGTATTTTGAATAAAAAGGAAGGGAATCAAGTGTTAAACATAAAAAACAATCTATTGGTCATAATAGTTCAAAAGATCATTCAACATCAAAGCAGTACAATGAAAAATTAATTTAAACTTTTCCAAAACACTTCTCTCTGTCATCATTAGCGGAAGCAAATTCCCTAAGAATACCAGTCAAATCCAGAGCCATACAGTAGCGTCTCGACCGACAGTCGGCATCGGCCCGAACTGATCAATTTGGTTCTGCTTTGTCGGTCTGAAAGTTGGGGGGGCACGGCCCCCCTAACTTGAAAGTTGGGGGGGCCGCGGACCCCCCGGCCCCCCCAGTGGTTACGCCATTGTCATGGGGTCTCCTTGGACGCCAATAAGCGTCCTGATCCTTTTGGGACACCATAATATCTGCGCCCCCCCCTCCTAATCAATCACGGAAATTTTCCGGAAAATTTGGGAAATTGTTGACCTTATTGCTGCAGGAGGCTGACGACGGTCAACTCGGGGGCGGCGCTCGTCATCAGCCTGCTGGCCGCCTACTCCACCGTCGTGCTGTGGTTCGCGCTGGTCGTCAAGCTCGGCAGGCTCGCGCGGCAGGCGGGCCGCCTGTCGGCCGAGACGCTCAAGGCGCGACAGACGCGCACGCAGCTCGCCATGCACTGCACCGACCTCTGAGACCAGCCGAGAGGCCATGAGACCGACTGGGACTCCTAGTTGTTGTTGTTGCAGCAGTTTGCAGTTCGTGTTGAAACGCTTATTGCAAAGAGAAAGTGGACAATATGGTGTCAAAACGTTATTATTAGGGTTGGTAGCCCTGGAAAGTTTCCGGAAAATTTTAGAAATTTTTTAGAAAAGACGGAAAATTTTCGGGAAAAATTGAAAAATTTCCCAGATTTAGGAGTGTTTTCCGTTATTTTCGGAATATTTTAGGGAACTTTCGGAAATTTTCCGGAAAATTAATTTTGGAAATTTCCAACCCTAGTTTTTTTTGTAGAAATTTGGACCGACCCCATCAAGTAATCCGCGTGTATTTATTGATGTGATTTCAGTCAACTACTTTTATATTTCTGCTAGACTTTTTCTCGTTTTCGACTTTCCTCTCAATAATGTAGAAAGCCAATAAATAGAGTGTCGATGACAGTTTGTGTTTGTTGTTGTTTTTTGTTTTGTGTACCATCAGACATTAAATCGCTCATCCCCTTTGTCTTGCCCATGCGAGGGTACAATACAAGTAGCAACATCAATGGCAGCTGGGCGATTCCAAAAGTGACAGAGGCACAAAGAAACACGGCACTTTGCTGACCTCCCTCCAGCAGCCCGGCCCGGCCCAGCGGTCATAAGCCCAGGAGGGTGATGGTGGATTTAGTCCCATGACCCGTGCCTTCACGGTGAGGCGGCCCCGAGGACTGTGATTGGCTGAAAACCTCTGAAACCATAGCGTCGTCCTAAGTGAGGCCGCCTCACCGGGAGTACATATCAGGTGGCTGGTTAACGCCGCGCACTTTCGTAGTTAATACCGTACCGCATGCACGCGTGCGGGCGGGTTGTCTACTCTCACGGGGCCACAAGGAGCCATTAAGGCGTCGAAAACGGCTATGAACGTGGGCGGGGGCCAGCTTCACGTTGCACCGCCCACTTATCTTACGACGCCGAGACTAAAGACCATTCTAACCGGAAGAATTAGCGCTCTTCAGAAATCAGCTCGACGAAATAAGTGCTCACATCCTCAGCCCCTAAATCTGGGGTCAAAAACAGCATCCCGCCTGCGAAGTGGTGGGTAGGCAACCCACCGATCGGTATGCACCCGTCGCGTCCAGCGCGTCGGCGTCGGTCGCCTCGGGTACGACAGGTGCGACGGGTCGGGCCACCATTCTGGGGTGTGGGGCCTCCTTAAGAATCAAGCCGTGCGTCACAGGGGGTGGGGGGGTTGCAGAAAATTTGCGGCGTCGAACGGACTTTGTCTCTGTCGTACACTCAGTTGGTGTGAAACTGCCCTAGGCCATTACGGTCGTAGGTACAACTGTGTAACTACAAACAGGGTCACGACCCCGGGGTGCTAGGGTCCCTGGGGAACGACCATCAAGGTAGGTAGAGTTAAAAAATGAAACTCTACTTAACGACGACAGAACGACTCCCGTGTTTGCCGCCGTGTACCCCCCGTACGCGGACGTCGTGACCACAAGTTTGTCGGATCAAGGGCGCCATTCGATATTCATCCCCCTATGCATAAACAGTCGAGACTAAAGGGGGTTTAGCCCTTTCCCAGCGTCGCGATTGATATGGCGAGCCAAATGACTCGACGACCGAAAACTTTTGACTAGGCGGGAAAAACAAAAACTTTTGTTCGTGCTTTTGAATGATGCAGAGCAGCGTCCGTCCGACGGGGTGTGTAGGCCGGCGGCTATCGGCCCGGGCCCGGGCACGCACAATCTCTGCACGCGCCCGCAGAGAAGCGCTCGCGTCGTGGACGGCCGGGCCGTCGGGGAGGTACGTACGTGTACTAGAAACTAGACTGGAGACTAGTGATCGAGACGGCTACATGCATCACCCCATCCCCGTCCGACACACGACTCCGTAAACCCCGTAATTTTCCCCCGAATAAAGTTGTTGCGGCCCGTTTAAGCGGTGGCTTGCTTGATGCGCCATAGCGCATCCGTATGTATAGCTATTCCCGCTCCCCCCATAGATGTCACCGGCAACTTTTCTCGTCCCGAATCTTGAATAATTCTATCCGTGCATACGACGACGACGGGTGTGTGTGTGTGTGTGTGTGTGGTGTGTGTAGCGGCTGACGCGGACCGGAGCTCTCGGCCCGGTGCGACTCTGTGGATCGGGGACCTCCATGCAGGAGGCCCGCCTACAGGCCCGCCTAGAGGCTCACCAGCGGGTCAGCAGGATGGTGCTCGCCTCTTGGTGGCCGAGGAGGAGCCGGCGAGGAGCCCGACCAGAGGAGCCGCCCACCACCCACTCCGAGCTCTGCGAGTGGGTCCGCATCGTGGACGGCGCCGGCCTGTCGTACTTGCTGCTGATGATCATGATGAACACGGTACTGTCTGTGTGGGGCATGATGATATGTTTAAATGGTGTGTCTCGGTAGTTGTTTTGCCTCGGCCGTATCATTTTAAACACATGAGCGGGTTGTCACTGTGAACGGTTAGGAGGACATGATAACTGTATCCGCGCGTGGTGAGTAGCCACATTGTGGCGTGGCTCACTGTCGCCGTTCTTTTCTCTGGTACAGAGTACAGAGGGTAGAGAACACAGTTCAAAGTACAGAATACACAGTATAGAGTACACGGAACAGAGTACAGAGTACAGAGTACAGAGTACAGCGCAATGTTCGATGCCGCAGGTCGTGTGGTTGTACCCGGCCTTCATCGCGTGCTCCGGGGCGCGCGCCGTGCTCGCCGACAGCGTCCCGGACGCGCTGCGCAGCGTGTGCGGAGGCTTCGCGATGTACTCGTCCGGGGCGGCCGCCTTCCTCTGGGCCTTCCGGCGCCGGCCCATCCTGGCGGTGGTGCGGCGGGCGCTGGACATGGCCGCCGGCGGCCAGGGCGGTGGCCTCGGGGCGCACGCCGCCGACCTGGAGCAGGACGGGGCGAGGCTGGCGAGGAGCCTGAGGGCGTCGAGCTGGGCGATGAGGAGGGTGCGGCGGTACGGCTTCACCTACATCGTGGTGGGCTCGGCCCTCGCCAGCCTGGAGCAGTTCGCCGCCTCGCCGGCCATCCCGCCCTGCCTGCAGGTCGGGGAGGGCGCCTCCGTGCACCTCAGGCAAGCGCCGACAGCTGTGTGTGTAGCTAAACCGATAGCTAAAGGGGCGATATCAAATTTATTCAACTATAAGTGGCCGAGCTGAGAAAAATGTAGGGTTGGAAGCCCTGCAAAGTTTCCAAAAAATTTATGGAAAAGACGAAAATATCCGGGAAAAAGTGAAAAATTTTCCCAGATTTTGGAAAGATTTTTTTGCTACATTGCTTACTTTATGGCAAATAGCTTTATTTTTGGCGCAGAATCACCATCAGCCTGGCCGAGTCCTTCAAGTGGAGCTGCGGCGCCACGTACTTCTTCAGCATGTGGCTGCTCATTCTCACGCTGCTCATGTTCATGGAGACGCAGTACGCGCTGCTGAGCGTGCGCCTCAGGACGGCCAAGGGCCTGCGCGAGGTCGCGGAGTGCGTCGAGCGCATGTCCGAGATGATGCAGTTCGAGAACGACATGAGGGCCATATTTTTTACCGTAAGTCGTCAAAAATAAGCGTTGTGGAAGTTTAAGCGAAACATAGCCAAATAATTAGCTACATGGCCAAATAATTAGCTACATGACCAAATAATTAGCTACATGGCCAAATAATTAGCTATTTATAGCTTAAGATTTAGCTATTTCGCAAAAAAATAGCTGATTCGCAAAAAGTTAGCTAACTAGCTACAACTTTTGGTATATGCAGTTTTAGCGAAATAGCTAAATAGCTAAATAGCTAAATAGCTAAATAGCTAAATAATTAGTTATCTTAGCTATTGGCTATTGGCTATTGGCTTAGCTATACTCATCCCGTGACAGGGCGTGCTGCACATGCTGGCGGGCGCGCTCCTCGTGCCGCTCATCAACACCTACCAGCTGCTCTTCGGGCCCCGGACCATGTTTTCGGCGCTCACCTTGTCCACGCTGCCGCTCGTCTACGGCTCCATGTCGCTGCTCGGCGACCGACTCGCGCTGGGCTGTGACGAGGTACTGAACGCAGAACGTATTTTTAAACGGATTTTTACAAGATTTTTTAAAATTTAAATCAAAAATTTTCTGAGATTTTTTTCTTACGTTTTCTGAAAATATTTGATTTTTTTTCCCATTTTTTTTCTTCTTGAAAAGTTAAATTTCTTCTTTTCTTTTCGGGAAAATTTCGTTGTTTAAAATTGAGTTGATGGCCTGACGCTCGCTGATGCTCGTCGCGTAGGTGCGCTTCGCTGCCTACTCGGGGGACTGGCCGGACGAGGAGCCGCGGGTGCGCCGGCTGCGCGTCATGCTGATGCAGAGCTGCTCGCGGGGGGCGCCCTTCGCCGTCCGCGGCCTCGGCGACTTCACCCGCGGCGCCGCCTACCACGTGCTCAAGACGTGGTACCAGTACCTCAACCTGCTCATCAGCACCGTCGCCTGAGAGCAGGAGGCCGCCGCCACCGCCGTAGTCGAAGAAAACTATTATTTTTATTTGTTTTTCTTAATTTTTTTAGGCAGTCGATATAGATTGACTTTTACGTTGGATAATTCGTTAGCCAGCGCAAACATAGTGTCAGCCAGAAAGGGTGTGAGCTGGCGTGAGTTGAAATACACAAGCCAGCGCTCTAAGTCAGTCGCAGCACTCCACACCGGCTTACAATAAATAAAGACAGCCCTAGACTGTAATTTTCTTACCACAATAATCCGAAGGACATGTCCTAGCGTATTTCGCAGTTTATAACCTTTTCCAATTATAACGTTTAAGACTGTTATTATGTATAGATTTTTTTTTCGCATTGTATTCAGTGCACCTGCGACCGACAGCCCCAGAGGGGTCAGCAGGCCCGCACGGCTAACCAACATGCAACCCTCATTTCCCCCAAAAGTTTCGGGCTTGCATGTGGTGTGCAGTAGTGAGCCCGCCCCACACGACCAGATGTCTCCAGCCTTGATCCATCTGCTTTCTGATGCCACACAAACTTTGCCGATCGTCTCTTGAATAACCATCATTGTCCTATACGCGACGCAGAGAGGGAGGGGTGGGGTCTGTTTGGTCTGTCCAGGGCGTGGGCGCCGCCGCCTGACGGGGAGGCGGTAGGCCGTGCCGTTGGACACGAGGGCGATGCTGGGTTGCCTACCCGGCACTCCGCAGGCGCTCCGAGCCTCTGCCAATAAGAGCCCCATGCCATTAGCCCACGAGCCACACACGGGGCCCTCCGTGCTCATCGAGCGTAAGACTGTTACTCTCTTCCCTTTGTCGAGAGTTTAGCTGACACAGCTGTGCTCTAACTAAAAAAAAGTCTAAAAACAACAACAACCCACGGTCTTTTTAAATGTTGTTTCTCACTATGTTCTGCGCCGGTGCAGCTAGATTATCCCACCTACTTTTCTCCAAGCTGGTAATTTTTCCAAAATCCCATAAAGTGCTGTCCGACCTAAGTTTTGTCCGAACTATTTTTTTCCGGCCCATTTTTCTCCGACCTCGTCGATATGCTGAACGTTTGGAAAATGCAGTTATACTTTACCCCACGTTTGGTTTTCCTTCCCCGGGGGCCGTAGCGCCTAACGGGCATTGCAGGTAGGCACCATGCACGCCTGCGTGCGGTGCAGCATAACCACGACGACTCGCGGGTTCGCCTACCCCAGGTGGCCAGAGCGCCTTACGGGCAGTGCGGCAGTGTGGCACTAAGCTTTAGACGTGAATCACCTCCGTGCAATCGGTAGTTAAAATACCTCTCAGAGCCGGATTCACTTTACCTATAAAATTATCAAAAATGAGAAAAAAATGTGGGCTCTACCCTCCCCGCTTTGACACGGGGACCAGCCTGTTTAACTTCGGAGTTCGGTATGGGATCCGGTGTTTTCAGGCACCCAGCTGAGGGCCGGGTTTCTTGACTATCTCGATCACACCGGAGATTACAGTCATCGACTAGGTTCCAACTTCCAACCCGAGGGGTGCCCAACTCCATAAAAACGTGTACACCGGATTACCAAATTGTAAAGATTACCAATGATTACCAATGAATACTAGGTATGATTCGCCTGCATTCTAAATCGACACAACCATTTTTTGTCCTGAGAAAGATTCATAATGGTGCACATTTTAGGTAATTCTTAATTTTTTATCTTGCAAGTTACAAACTGGCATTCTATGATTGGACAAATTATGTTTTTGTCCATGGGGGGATGCAAATACTTCATATTAAATATGAGCGTTTGCATTTAGACAAGATGTGCACAAAAATGCAGGTCTCAATCACCAAATTTGTCCTTTGAAAGGACCCTTAAGAGTGTGTAGATTACCAGGGATTACCGGTGATTACCAGTGATTACCAACTCTGTGTACACCTGACTACCACAGTTGGGCACCCCTCGTTCCAACCAGTCCGCTTGACCGGGAATGGGGGCTAGGGCGGAGAGAGTTAGAAAGAGAGGAGGCGGGCGTACGGTGGTTAGCCTAGCTGTACTGCACCCAGATGCGATCCGAGCGGAAAGCTTCCGAGTCGTGGAATCCCTTCGAGGAGCCAGATTCTAAGGACTTCGCAATTCCACACGGGTTACCACTCCCGCTGTGGCTGGGATGGCTCTTACCCGGCACGCTTTCGCCGGGGGTCGATCGTGGTTCGAACCTTTGCCGCCCATGGGACCCCAGACGGGCGCACAGACAATCAGGCGGGCGCCTGTGAGACTCGGGGTAGGCCAGCCCGCAGTGCATGCGTGCACTGCGGGGAAGGCATCCTCTACCTGCCAGGCGCTATGCGAGCTGCTGGAACAGGCTACACTCGGCAGGGTGGTTTTTGTAGATGAAATTGCCTACAGTTCCTGTTTATTATCGGACGCGTGAGGTTCCATGAAAAAAAAATGCGGGATGAGGTGGGAGGTCTTTGTATTTCTGTTTTACTTCAAAATAAACAACTAAATCTACACTATGTACCCTTTGGGGTCCGAGCCCCAAATTTTTCCAAATGCACGGAAATAGCCGATCACCTCCTTATTCCCCATAACCTTTCCAAAATGTACCCTACCCCCTACCCCCGACCCCCTCCTCTGCGGTGAGCTCACGCCGCGGTCGGCGGCGTCGGCCCACAACACTTGCCCCTCGCCGTTAGTCGTCCTCTAGGCGGCCCCGCCACCGCCGTGCCGTCTGGCGGCGGCGGCCGCCGGCGGCGTCGTCGTCGTGGTCGAGGACGAGCTGAAGAGCACGGCGGCCACCCCCTTGAGGAACTCGGGGTCGAGGAACATCTTGCCCTTGGCGACGAGGCTGACCTTGCAGCGCGGCGTCGTGTGCATGATGAAGTTGTACATGGTCACGGCCGGCTGCACCATGGGGCTGAAGTCCTTGCGCATCGCCCGCGCCACCTAAGGACATCCTCACTTTAAAGCGCACACTAGGGTTGGAAGACGGAAAAATTTCCGGGAAAAAATGAAAAATTTCCAAGATTTTGGAAAGTTTTCCGATGTTTTCAGTATATTTTCGGAAAGTTTTCGGAAATTTTCCGGAAAATTTGCGAAATTTCCAACCCTAGCGCACACTGAATTTACCGTTTTCTTAAATTTCTATTACTTTTTTTCCTAATTTTTTTTGGAGGGTGAACACTGATCTCTGCGAGTGAAATGCCGCTGAGGACATGTGGGCGGGCATCACCCCGCAGCTGCGCCTGCACCGACAGCCTGCACCGACAGCTGCAGCTGCGCCTGAGACGACAGCTGCAGCCGCGCCTTACCATGAGCAGGCACTTGATGTCGTCGTCGCTGTACATCATGGCCAGGCCCCTGCCCATCGTGTACGACTTGCAGTACGACTTGAGCCGCTGGAACACCCCGGGGTCGTCGAGCTCGTCGTCGGCCGACGGCGACGCGGACGGCGGCGCCGCGTGCAGCTGCGGCAGCTGCACCAGCAACAGCACCGCACCTGCGATGGGACACGAGCAAGAGCGCCGTGACGGTGCGCGCCACCTGCAGCAGCAGCACGACGGCGAGGAGCAGAAACAAACGCACCCACGGCGGCGACCCTGGCGAGGCACCGGCGGCGGTTAGCGGCGGCCATGGCGGACTGTTCCTTGTGCATGGGCCCCGCCCCACCATGCCTCGCCCTTCGGCCCAGGCGTATCGCTCGCGCCTACCCTTTCAAGCACATCAACTCTTATACAGACACCTTCAGGTGTCAAAGCGCTCGACATTTTCTTTGTACGCCTTTATTTTTCGTTCGTTTATGCGCGTGTGTGCCTGTAGGCAGCCTTTGCTGGGGGAGCGAAGCACTTGCTCCCAGACCACTTAATCTCAATCACAAGTGTCTAGAAGTTTGGTAAAGTGATTACATAAAGATTTTTTGTTAAAATAATTTTTTACAAAATAAATCTCCATTTTCTGGCCCGGCATCGTGCTTTAATATGTTTTCTGCGCTTCCCTGAACAATTTCTGGCACCTCATCCCAGCATCGACTTTTATATATGTTGACGTCTAATGTTGACCTGGCCATTCCATGGTCCGAAATTCAACGTAACTCAGACTCAGATTTCGATTCAACCTTGAGAAAGGGCCTTTCTCAAGATTCAACGTTGAGTCGTCTCTCAACTCTTTTAAAAAATTGGCGGTTAAATAAGAAGAGTGCCGCAAACAACATGCTGAGAAACACAATATATTTTTTGTTTTAGCTAAAATTGAAAAGAAATTTGGTCCTTTTAAACATTTGATGCTTTATTAAGTAACATATGGCGTAATGGGAAAACTACAATTGGAACACAATGTATTCTTGAATTTGTGAATATTTTTCTTTAGGTTGGTAGTAGAACCAGAGATATGGTGTCGTCTGCTGCGGCTGCTAAAGGAAATAGGAAACAGTCTTCTGCTCGCGCAGCTGGCGCGCGTTCTGCTGTCAAGTCAAGATTGTTTGACAGTTGTTGTTCACAATTTCTGTGAGTTGGCAAGACAATCACTCTTACTCGTTTTAGCTCAATGCGTTGCACGACTCCTTCGACTCGCAATGGAGAGCTATGTGGAGGGATACGCATCCGAGGTAGGGAGGCTGAAAGTGGCTGAAAGAGGGAGGGGGAGACCCTAACTTTTGGTTAGGGCAATCGTAAACGCTGGGGAAATCATGCAGCATTGTTTCCTATCCAACTACTACTTCTTTATGTGTTTTCAGAATGCTATGCTACGTAGGAAGCTCCAAAGCAAAACAGAGGCTGTGTTGATTCTGAGTAAAGACCTCAATAAATGTCGCAGTGAACGAGATCAATTTAAATCAAATCAAGAAGAGCTACAGCACAGATTATTAAGTTTGACACGAAATATTCACAATAAAGTAAGCATACTGCTTTAAATGGTGAACTGGTTTGGTCCAATGTAGAGGATGTTATTAGTTACATACCAGTTATTTCCTTCACAAATAATGTCCTGTCCAGGGATTGTATCGCACCTCATTATACACTGAAGACGAAGCAGATGGCTTCAGGCCAGGTGTGACTGTTGCTGAATTACTGAGGGATGCTCAGAAACGTAATAAGGCCTTGCGCATGGAAATGGATGAACTGAAACAGAGGTTGTCTGAAGCTTATGAAGACATGGAAGTAATATTTTTGTTTATTGTTTTCTAGGTAACTTTGCTGTGCACACATTTTTTCTCTAGTATCATGTCGATTTTTCTTTTGTTGTCAGGCTCTGCGTTCTAACTATGCTAGGCATCGCTGTGGCAATATTTGTAGATGGGAAGGGCAGGTATTTCCAAATCATCCCAAGGAAGAATTGATCCAGCAGCTTGAAACCATGGATGCCAAGGTAATTTAATAATGTCCAGTATTTGAAAAGTTCTTCTATTTTATGTAGATATTTATTTTAGATTTCAATTAAGTATCCAACTTTTGTGACCTGTACTTTCATTTTTGTTGAATTATTATTTTCATTATTGTTGCAGTGCTCCCAACTCCTGATAAATCAGCAAGCATTACTTGATGAAAGAGAAGAGTTGATGCAGGAGCGAGAGACATACAAATTCAAAGTGCACCGCTTAAATTATGAGTTATCTTCCTTACTGAAAGCAAGAAAAAATAACATAGACATTGATGCTCTTATTACTGAGAACCGATATTTACATGAAAGACTGCTACAAACTCAAGACGAGCTTGAGTCTACTCAACGATCTCTTCAAAAATATAAGGTATATCTCCTTAACTGTACAATATCTATGTAATATTTTACTAACAACATTAACCACTTATTTTGAATATGAATATGGCAGGCTGCTATTGATCAGACAAACAAAAACATGCTAACACAAGGGAAGAATTTCTCTCCTTTGTCTCCAACAAATCGTTTTATTAGTCAAGGACAAGGTATATGTTCTATTTGCTTCTAAAGAAGTTCAACAATAAAAATTTATTACTAACTAATTTTTTGAAACTTTAGTAACAACATTTAAATGTTAATTTGAAAATCTAAAAGTCACCTTCCTTTAAACTTTTTCCTAACAGTGAGAGAATTGTTAGATGCAGTCTCTCAACCTATGAAGTCAAGGACTCCTGCTTTCATGGAAAACATGAGAGACGTGTGTCAAGCTTTATTTGATTCTTTAGAGGATAAGAGTCTAAGACTTGCCCATCAAAAGAAAGCAAACAGGTGTGTTACCATAATCTAAAATGTCATCCTTACAAAAAAATAGGATTGCCAAAACGGAATGTCTTCTTCATTCTCTGGTTTCTTTTCAGAATATTAGCTAAAAGAATAGTGGACCTTGAATCATTAGCAGGGGAAAGAGGTTCCACTGTTTTCCCTTCCATGGCTTTGTTAGAAGGCTATTCTCCTAGTGATGCAGCAAACACACTGGGTAATTGTAGCATAATTAGATATATAATTTTTATTTTCTAACTAAATTTACTCATTTGTATAGAGTGTCATCCATTTTCTTGTCTAGATGAAATTCAAGTATCAAAACAAATTAAAACCAAGGAAGTTCCAAAAACACCTTCAAATAATAAACTAAGCAGTGGTCAGTTTATTGATTTTAATATCTCTTGCCTTTCTTCTCTTTCAAAGGTTTTTATTTGTATGACGATGCTTATCTCTTTTATCTAGAAGGTGAAAACAGTCTATGGAGAAGAAACAACAGCTCTGACAGCGAAGAATGTCAGCCGCTGCCTCCAGGTGTACGTTTACTTGTCCAGCAGGCTTTGGAGGAGATTCGACAGGAAAAACGACCTATGGATGCCAAAGAATCTTAATAAATTTTGTTTTCAAAACCTTGTTCATATTTTTCCGTTGTGTGACTTCTTGAAAAGATTCATATACTGTTTTGTTCATCTAACCTTTTTAATATTGTCCAATCGTTTAAAAAGCAATGATGACTTTTAAGTTGTAATTGAAAGTGATATGGTTTTGTTTTTTTTAGAAAAACAAATAAAACGAGATGTTTTAAAACGTTTCTCTTCTTGCTCTTTCTCATCTTCGGATCCATTCAAACTTCCCTCCGATTTCCATTTTTATCCCTCGGTTCACATAATGGTCAGGTAGTTCTGCTTGTTGATGCAGTAACTTTTCTTACTTTTTTGTTACTGTTTGGAATGGTGGAGTCAGGAAATGTCTCCAAGAACCGCTTTCCAAAAGAAAAGATTTAGAAAAAAAATTGCCATGTTGCCTGATAAACGTAGAACGCCCGAAAACTCAATCTAAAGCGATCTGGTGTTGACCGTGTTGTTTTGTTATGTTGACATCCTTTGTGTCCACTTTTGGTCCGGTGATTTTGTGATACAGACATTTTAGTCCGCTGACAGTTTCAGGAGAGTCCGTAATACGGCTGTTTACAAACCTTGTGGTCATCTATTGACATGAAGTTTGTCCCTCGAAAGCTAATGATGCAATAGTGTGGTAATCTGTGTGTGTGTGAAAGGTTCGGTCAACTTCATGATCGGGAACTACTGCCTGGACCGTGACGTCATGATGGCCTAGATGGGTTAGGATTGGCGATGGAAACGTTCTCAAATTTTCGTCAATGAAATCTCTATTATTATGATAGTCTTTACGATATCCGTGTATTTAGTTAATTACTGAAAAAGGAAATTGTAAGAAATTGGTGAAGGATAGTGTGAAGTTGAGCAGGCACTGGTTTGAGATGTCTCGACAGGAAGGTGAGTCTTTGCTTTCAGAAGACAAATAGGCTTATTTGCTTCGCATACTCGTATTTTTGTTTCGTGTTTACTTGTCGTTTTGCCTGGACCCTTTTAATCTGTTCGTGGCAACGATCTGGATGAATCTTGCGCTATTCAGCCCCCATGGTAGTTAAGGTGCTGCCGTCACATACGCTACTGCCTACGCTGGTTGCAGCCTAGGCTAGGTCCCCCGTATGCAAGAACTGCAACATCATTGCTACTTTTTCCTTCAGCCCCGTCCAAAATTTCCCAAGACAAACAAAAACTCTCTCTTTGTAGTTTCTCAAATTTTGACAAATGGAAACACTCATGATGCAACCATTGTCATTTGGCCTAGACCATCTCAAGGGTAGTACGTTTGCTTTTGCCCTTTATTTTGTTGCCTGTCACCTTTCACCACTTCTGACTCTCTTCCATTAAAGCTGTCATTTAATTTTACTATTTGGCTAGAAAAATTCCCAGTTGTGTGGACTCTTTTTTTTCTATGTAAGTTTTTGTTTGATATTGGAGATATTGGATTGGAGATTGTCGCCTCCATCAGCTGTTACATTTGGTCTGTCATGGAATGGTTCTGAGTCCTGACTAACTCCTTTTAATTTTATAATTAAAAAGAAAACAATCTCTGAGGTTTAAAAGATGAAATTTATTCAATAGTAGTTTATTTATTATTATTTTTGCTGTATTGATTTCTGATAATGTTAACCCTTCTTTCTTAGCAGACACATATTAAAAGGGTCATTTCAATGTGTGTTGAATTATAATTGTATTTAGCGCTCCTAATTTTTTAACTGTTTCTCAAATTTTGAAAATTCTAGGTGTCAGCTGTGACTCATGTTCCAAACGTAATTTTCGTGGTCGCCGCTATAAGTGCCTGGTGTGCTACGACTATGATTTATGTTCATCATGTTACGAAGCAGGAGCAGTCACGCCTCACCACACAACTAATCATCCCATGCAGTGTATTTTGACACGATCAGACTTTGGTGAGCACATTCCTCCTTATCTTTTATCAAATCTTGACAATTGGTTTTACTCATGATTCTTATTATTACCATGTTTTATGCAGAGTTATACTATGGGGGGGAGTCATTAACTGTCGATCAACCACAGTCATTTACTTGTCCCCATTGTGGAAGAATGGGCTTGACTGAGACCACTCTTCAGGAGCATGTCACTTTAGACCACACTGACACTTCTGCTGAAGTGGTATGTTGCTGTTGGCTAATGAATTAAATATCTCAAGCTTATGCAGCTTTGTGTGATAATATTTTTTTTTTTATCAGGTTTGTCCGGTGTGTGCGTCTCTACCAGGGGGCGATCCTAATCTCATGACTGATGATTTATCTGGACACCTTAACCTTGAACATCGAAGTGGTCCCCGTGACCTTATATCATTTTTGATATCCTTTTCTGCATATGCAATTTACTTTTTAAAAGTTAATCTGATATAGTGTCAATCCTATTTCACCCAAATTTTACTTTTTTATTTTATCCAAGTTGAATTTTGTTTTTCTGTCTGGAATCCTATTTGTTCTTGGAAGTATTATCTCCTTAATTTTGTATTACGATGAACCAGCTAGTCTGCGACACAGTGGAGTTCGCAGAGGTCCTCATGCATCAAGAGGTGTTGGACCAAGGCCAAGAAGGTGCAATATGCATTTTAGGTGAGGCATAATACATTTTATTACATACCATCACCTACAATTAGTTGGTACTCAGTAAAATTGTGATTTTCTTCCAGCACTGGTGGCTTGTCCTCCATATCACCTTCTACGCGAGACACAGCAGATCCAATTGCAGAGTTATTATCTCAATTATCTGGTGTGCGAAGATCCACTGCTAGCACTTCTGCTCAAAGCTCAACACCTTCCCAACTGCAACAACTCCAAATACAACTTCAGCTGGAACGGCAGCAGGTGAGGGTATGGATACTTCTTCTGTATATTTTCTACTTACCTTGTAGTATCCTCTAAGTATTACGTTTCAAACTGAGCTGGGTTATTCATGAAAACAAGGCTCAAACAGTGTGTGGATGTGAGACCATTGGTATCCCTGGGTGCAGTCAACAATGAACACTATCTTGTAGCAGTAGGGGCCTCTTATAGCTGTTCCTCAACCGAGATCTATGCTTGATGGTTAGGCAGCTTCCTCATCAACTGGGTCACATATTGTGGGGGAGTAACATAAGATTTATCATTTGTAACTTGAGCCAAATTTAGGATGGGGAATATATTGATCAGTCATTCATCATGAACATTTATATTATCTACATTAGCACATTGATTTAACTTCATGATCTTTCTTGTACATTTATCGTACACAACCAACTTATATAAATGTGTTTGGTTTTTTTTCATATTAATGTGGTTAAGTTAAACCTTTTCTGAAAATAAAACACTACTTGTTAGATAGAGCAGCTTTAGTTTGCTGTGTGTGGTGTGTTCCAGGCCGCACGGCAGCAACTGGAGAGGTTACCGCGACGCCAGGCTCAAGCCAGCACTTCCAATGCTGCCAGTAGCACTACTGGTCCAACTGCGGCTTCTACTGCTGCTGTTGTCAGTGCAAGCTCGGCTAGCTCTAATGGTGAATTAAGTTCTAGCTCTCCTCCAGCCCCTGTAAATTTACAGTTTCTACTATCAAGGTTTGTGTTTGTGCTGAAATTCATGCACTATTTTCCCTACTGTCCCTTTACTAATACTCCTGTTGACTTTTTAGGTGCACCGAACCGCCTCTTTCAGAGACAGAACTTCAAGCAGCAGAAATGGAGCGTGCTGATCATAGTTTATTTGTGCAAGAGCTGGTCATGTCTACTTTGTCAGATTCAACTGCCTTGATTTTGTCATTGGGTCTCAATGCTGTGACCTCAAATAGAAATAGCGAAAACAATGAAACGTTTTCTTCAAGTAGGGAGTCCCCAGGAGGCGGTGGGGGTGCACGGGTAACTAGCACTTCATCTGCTCCTACTGGTTCCTCTTCCAGCACTTCATCTGTTTCTGCTTCGTCTCAACAGAAAGCTTCTTCAGGAAGTGTTCCTTCCAAACGCACTAGTACAAGAGGTGAGTTGTGTTTTTTTTTAGCTATTTCACTATCCCTTACCTTAAGCTAATATTTTCAACAATATTTCTTTCTTACTGTATTTTCTTAATGGTCTATTTTAAACTCTTTGTAGGAATGGGGCCAGTAAATGCATCCAGTGGTGCCTCTCGGAGCCAGGGTCAGCAATTAGCTCAGCCTCAACAACAGCAATCGGTCCACCTCCGAGACCGGGGTGCTGTTATGTCCCTCCCCACCCAGCCACAGCCCATGAGGGTAGTTACTGGGACTGGTACTATCCGAGAAGTTGTCGGCGCACCTAGCTATGGCAGTCCAGGTTCAAGCAGGAGAAAGCCAGTCCGCACCGCAACTGAGCCACCGCCACCTCACTAAAAGTGTTTGAGGATCTAGTCCCCCTTAAGTCCTTCTCTATACCTTCCTCATCCTGTTGTTTCCCTGACCTCTTAGCCCACAGTTTTGTTGAGTAGTGAAGTTTTATCTGTGAAGATTTGTGATTTTGTTATTCTTGAGTTGGTAGGACAGTGGGGTAGGTTTTATTAAATTGGTTCTTGCTATGTCAGTTCTGTTATTGTTGTCTCTCAGCTCAAGATAAATCGCTAATGTGTTGGTAAATTATCCAGTTTTCATGAAAATTGATCATATGCAAGTATGTATTTAATAAGTATCACCACCTAACTTCTTTTATTGGAACAGTACTAATTTTGTTCTAAGCATAGATCAATATTTGGCTTGGTAGTAATGGTGTAAATAATTGTTTACTCTGATGGTAAATCTTGAGGTGAGGGATGGAGTGCTCTCATGGCCAACTGCTTTGACCATGAACTGATAGACTGAAAATACAGAAAAACAACATGCTTCATTAAAGAAAATTTGTAGTAGCATTTAAAATAGTTATCAAAATACATCTAGTTGATGGTGTTTCTATTTCTATCACACTCTACTAGTTTGTAAGTAATCTTAAACTTCTGTGCCTTTCCTTTGGCATGTCCTTTCCCCAATTGCTTTGTGCCTGTGCTCTTATTCTGGCAGAGTGCAACTGCTGAGTGGTATTTCTTGCACTTCTACTCATTTCCTTTTTTGAAAGCTTGCCTAGCGTGTTTATTTTGTAGCTGAGAATGCCAACATTTTCAATAACTTAGCAGTCTTAACATGTCATCCCATCAGTCTTACCAACTTTGCAGCACTTTTTGTGTATCAATTATGCTGTTATTATTTTAAAATGTGAGGGTTAAAAATACACTTGCAGATCAGCTTTCTTTAGCTGTCTTTTGTTGGTTCATATACTTCTGATTTCAAAACCTGTAGTTAGTTGGAATACTCTACTAGTACTTTTCAATTTAGTAAAAAGTAAAAGCTCTACCCTGGGGGGAAAAAATTGTGCCACTCATTTGAAAGTTCATAGGAGAAATTAAACATTTTGATGCTTGATGATTTGTAAACCATTTTCATTATTCATTTTTTATCTTGAACATTGGCTGTGTCTATAAAGAAGTGCACAATATTTGTGTCAAAATTTCAGAGTTAAAAATTGTTGATACTGGCCTTATTTTTGAGCTGTAACCAAATTCAAAGATTCACAGCTACCTCTAACACCTATGCTGCATCCTTTGATATTTGGTGTGTTAATTAAAATATCAGATTTCTTATAGATTGATTTTGATCAAGATACAATGTAAATGAGGAAGAGAGAACTGCATTCTGTTTCATCTTGACTGACCTTGATTATTACATACCTGAATACATACCAACACATTACTGTATATTTTTCTAAAAAGCGGTATGTACCAGCGTGTGAGAATCTCGTTGGCTGTCTTCAGTACCACTTGTCAGTGGAATGCCTTTGCTGAGCATCAGGATCTGTTAACTCAACCGTGACAACATAAAAGTTAGTTTTTGAAATTTGTAACATACACCACAAAACCCCCCTGCCCTAATCCACCAATAAGAGACAATTGGATGAAGAATTGAGTTTTACAGTAAATACCAACACCTTTCTAGTTATTTGAGTAATATAGATATTGTCAATGTTTTAACTTACTTTGTAAATCATTTCATAGCTGAATGTTATAGACATTTGGTTTTCTGTGATGAGATTAACCGGCTTGTGGACATTGGCTATTAACAAGTTTGTGTGCACATTTCTTTGTTGTGTGACTATGAATTTATATGATTACATACAAATTTATCTACCTATATAAATATATAGATATATGTATTATATCTATATATATATATGTACACATATTGTGTGTTTGTGTGAATGTTAGTTTGTGAGATTGTGAGCTTGTGTGTACAGAAGCAACTTTAGCCAATGTATGTTGATATGCCCCCAAACCGCATTTTTCCCTCTTTTTTTCTTTTTTCCTTTCCCCTATACATTCTGTAAGGGGAGGACTGATTGAGAAGCAAGCTGTGTTTGGGTTTGGGTAGTGATATTCAGGTATACACTGTGCTGTATACCTGGGTTTTTGACTTTTTCATTTACTTGAAAAGATCTGAAAAGGGATTCTGAAATTTGCGAATGAGGAGACTGATGTAAACAGTCATATTATTAAATTTTCAGTGTTATGCCAAATTCCAAAATAGTGTGAGGGGAAAACTTATTGGGTCACCCACTAAATGTTAAATTCAGTCGTTCACAAACACTTTTCACATTTTGAGAGCTGTTTTGTATGATACTGGTTGGTCTAAATATTATCTTCAAACTTTTCGCAACAATCTACTTATTTTTTGTTAATTTTTAAGAAAATAGGAGAGCCACATGTTGCGTTGTTTTCTTTTTGTCTTCTTGTTTTACATTATATACTTCATCAGTTGCTAATGATCCCATTACCAGATATGAAATTGGTAGAGTTTTCTTTATATACCTGTTTCAAATGGGCTGCTTACGATGTATTTCAACTTTGAGGTTGTGCAATAATAACAGAAACCATGAACTAAATGTATTATGAGCTCTTTTACCAGTTTTGACTAAGTAATCCCTCATTCCCTACAGTTTCCTCTTATTCTACTGAAGTAATCTACTAATGAAGTAACAGAAGAACATTTGAAGATAAAGAATTTCTATTTCTCATGTGACCACTTCGCTGCATTGAAAGCGCTCAATAGTTTACATATTGGTGGTGTCACACTAATGAGCATGACGCAGACTAAATGCTTGTTAAATACCCTGATGCACATTCCATGTATCATCAATGTGTCACCTTTTGTGCATATTTTTATATGCATTATATGCGTTTGGTGCTACCAGGCAAGCTAAATTGTCTCATGACACAAGTCACAGAACTTCCATTTTTTCAGTTAGATCTTATGATACAACAGTACACTTCAGGTTTAATTCCGATTTTTTCTTTTTTTTATTTATTGATTAACCACCAAGTCCATGGGCCCTGTAAGGACGCTACAAAGTTTGAGTGATAGTTGTGGTGTACGTTTCTTGAAAAACTTATGCTAAACAGTTATATTTTTCTTACACTGTTCCCAAAACACCTGATGGCTAACTAGCCTTGATTAATGTCTTTCAAAATCAGAAATTAGAAAGATCTGGTTGAAAAATTTAGCTGGCTAGCCCTGTGTTCAATGAAATATCAGACCCATATCAAACAGCAGAAATTTGTCGGTTTTCACATCAGATCGATTAGAGTCTGGTTCTGAACTTGACACATTATTGATTGATATTGGTATGATACTGCATTGTTCATTGGGAAAGTCCCACGCAACAGCTGTGAGACTTCATCATTTCTTTGAACTTTAAAATAGAATTTTTTTGGTAGAACATTGGAGATTGTGACTTAACATGGAAGCTTGTTTTAGAAGCGCTTTGAACTAACCAGTACCACTTAGTTTCGAGAAAGAACTGTCACAGTACTGACCTAAGTTTTATCAGCACTGAATGTTGCTGAAAAGAAGTTCTCTCCGTTAAAAACGCTCTACAAAACTTGTGATGTGAGAGGTCATTGGAGTAAATTGCCTCAAAGTAAGAAAGATCTTTTGCATCCATGCAGCTTGTAAAATAACACTACTGTAATGAAATACATTGCTATTTCACAGTCTTCAGTTTCTATCTACTTTCAATGTGGTCACAACTACAAATCAAATTTTTCCAGTTAATTATTTTTTAAACCAAATGTAGCAAATGATGGAATATAGGGGTAACTAAACTACATTTGGCTCGAGTATATAAATAAATTTATTTGTAAGGTCTACATACTGCACATACTTTCATATAAAACATGCTAATTTTTTCACTGAACGCTCTGTAAGTAACAGAAAATACATTTAATACACTCGTGAAAGGTTTCACTGAAAAGAGGTAATAAGTGAACATCACTGTGCCACAAGAACCATTTAATAAAATTGATAACAAAAATAAAGGACTAAATTTTCAATCTTGATCTTAAGAGAGTTGGAGAAACAAAAAATTTAACAGTCCAAATATTGAAGTCTTGAAGGCAGTGTCTTAAAAGCACACAGGAAACCAATGTAACATAGTATATCACGTAATCAGAGACAAAAAAAAAATTAACGGCAAGAACCTTACACACTTTACATAAAACCCTCTTCATTTTTTACAAATTGTATATACACATACCAGAGATTTTAAAGGAAAAACACTCAGCAGTTTTAACTTAAATCAGTTTTTCCACAACTATCGGCTGTTTCCTTGATTGGCAAATTGCATCTACCTCCACAAACTGAAAAGAATAACCAGAGGAGATTGAGTTTACAAAATAATGAAAACCAATAACAACACAATCACAAATTTGAGAGTAGGCCTTCAAAAGGATGGATACTTGGGTTTTGCATATTGCGTTCACTACAGACAGGTACACATTATAAGTCAATATCAGGAAATGTTAGAGACACTGAACAAAGAGCATGAGCATGATCCAAAAATAATAATATTAAGCATATTTTAAAC